AATGATAGAGGTCGCTGCCTCCTGTCTGCATTTCTCTTTTGGCGGTTCTATGCCATCAACAGACACTGTCTAATCACCTGTATCTTATTCATGATCTCACGAACTATGTCAAGCCCTAAAGCAGCTGTCTCCCCTACCTCAGTCCAACATACCGGTGAATGACACGGCCTACATACAACGCCTCAAAAGGGGCCATCTCAATACTAGACTGATAGTTGTTGTTGTAGTCAAACTCTACTAAAGCAAGGTGATCTTTCCAGTTATTCTTGAAGTTCATAACACATGCTGCTCTAAGCATGTTCTCAAGTATCTGAATAGTACGCTCTAACAGGCCGTCATTCTGAGGGTAGAAAACAATACTAAACAGTAGCTGAGTCCCTAAGGCTGTCTGAAGACTCTGCCAAAACCGTGCAGTGAAACATGGGTCTCTGTCTGAAACAATGGAAACAGGAATCCCATGTAGTCGTACTATCTCTCAGATATACAACCTACTGAGAACATCCACTGAATTAGTTGCTCTAATCGGTAGAAAATGTGTGGACTTCGTCAACCTGTCTACAACAATATAAACTGCATCGTGGCCTCTAGGTAACTTTGAAAGACCCATCACAAAATCCATAGTAACAAACTCCCACTTCCACCCAGCCACTAGCAATGGTTGTAACAAACCCTCAGGTCTCTGGTGCTCAGCCTTAACCTGCTGGCATGTGAGACATCACGATACAAACTGCATCACATCCCCCTTCATCCCCGTCCACCAATACTGGCGATGAAAATTATGGTACATCTTAGTGCCCCTTGGGTGTACTACTAGGCGTGAATGATGAAAATCTCTAAGAACATAAGCCCTAAGAGACTCTGGAACAAAGACTCTACACATATACCTCAGGCTAAGGTCAGAACAAACTATCCATCCCTTAAAGCCCTCGGTACTTGCAACTCGTGCTCGAATCTGTCTTGCCTCTGTTTCCTATAACTGTGCCTCAATAACCTTGCTCAACAGTGTAGGTTGTGCACAAACACTAAACAGTGTGGTGTGTTCCTCAGACTCGACAAGGTCTAAATCAAACTCACCAATGTCTCCCATCATCTCCTGCTCCCCTAATATCAATGCTAGCTACAGTGCTCCTAGGTCTTCTATGTAGTATATTTGTTACGACATTGGACTTCCCTGGATGGTACTTAAGGTCAAAGTCATAATCCTCCAAATACTCTATCTATCTCCTCTGCCGAAGGTTCAAGTCCTTTTGTGTGAAAATATATCTGACGCTCTTGTGATTTGAGAACACCTCGACCCTCTCCCCATATAAGTAGTGTCGCCAAATCTTAAGGGCAAAAATGATGGAATTTAACTCCAAATCATGTGTGGGGTAGTTCTACTCATGATTCTTCAACTAACGAGAACCATAGGATACCACTCTATCCTCCTACATCAATACACAGTCTAATCCTTCTTATGAAACATCACAATAAATGGTATAACCAATACCTCCCTCGGGTATAATCAGGACAAGTGCTGAAGTCAGCCTCTTCTTTAGCTCCTGAAATGAATGCTCACAGTCATCTGTCCACTTAAATCTAATGTCTTTGCGCGACAGATGAGTCATCGGCACGGTAAGACGAGAAAACTCCTCCATAAACCGACGATAGTACCCTGCCAATCCCAAGAAACTCCAAATCTCAAACACACTCTTCAGCCTCTCCTAACTCATAACAACGTCAATCTTTAGAAGGATCCACAGATACCCCACTACCTGACACAACATGGCCTAGAAACTACACCTCCTAAAGCCAGAACTTACACTTCGAGAACTTAGCAAATAAACGGTGTTCCCTTAAAATCTGTATCAGTTAAACTACCCTAGTAATCCAGAAGGACAAGTCAATCAGGAGGATTACTTAGGTTATTCATCTGACAATTGTAGACCCTATATCAGTTAAACAACCCTAGTAATCCAGAAGGACAAGCCATTCAGGAGGATCACTTAGGTTATTCATCTAACAATTGTACCATACAACAGTAAAACATCCTCAGTGCACCAGAAAGGTCAAGCCATTCAGTTGGAACACCGTAGGTATTCAACCGACAGGTTGATGATGCACTGACGACATAATTCTGGATTATGTATTATACTGAAAGCATTGGTTATGCCGAGACTTAACCCATCTATAACCAATCAATCGATTTTTACGTAATACCCAACTATGTACATCACTGTATCATGCATGAAGTATATAATAGTAGATAGTATGGTATAAAATATTAGGTACTGCTCGGTATTCATAACTATGAGCATATTATAAATATAATCATCCATCAATTAAGGGAGGTATGTATATATATCAATAAAGCATAATGCCGCATCGGCATTTCTATAATTTAACCAATAATATACATATATTTACCCCTCACTAAAGGATATACGTAAACTACTCACACCCCATTACTATAAACAAGGAAGTAATGCGGATAATTCTCATTACAATACTAAATAAATTACAGACATTGACATTTCTTTCGCATGGAATAGTTGAAATACAACCACCCTTAATATCAATTAAGACACAAAGGTGGTGGAAGTTCAACTCTCCAAGTAGAAAGATATAACAGAAATATAGAAATAACAGAGTTCTAACTGAAGAGTTGGTTGGACCGGATCTTGAATTTTTCTATGACTTTCTCTCTTTGTTTCTCTTTTCTTTTTCTTGAATTCTCTCTAGAGCTCTCATCTCAGTCGGTTGGTGAAGATGAAGAGTCACACACATATATATAGGCAAAAATGGAAGCAGAAGGTGGACGATCAACTCAAACCGCCTAGAGCCACCGTCCGGACGGTGTTGGTTTGCTGGAAGAGTGGTGGAGGTTCACGATGTTCTTGCATGTTCCATTATTTGAATTACACTTGCCTCCTTTGTTGTTTCAAGATTTGATAGATTTCTCCTCCTGATTTTTGGCAATTCCGCACAAAAACCTTGAAATTTTAGATATTACACACATAAAGCTCTAGCTTACGCACAAACCCTAATTAGCAATTTTTAACTATTTTATCTTACAAAATTAACTTGTTTAACTATTTTAATTTACATACTAATTGGGGTTAATCACACGGTTATCCACAATTATATTCCTCTTGTTAGGATTGCATAGTAGCTGCATAAATCAAAGTAGATACTAGAGTGGGACCCTTCATAGCCTCGGGTGCCCAAGTATGCGATCCTATCTATGCTAATTCATAGCAGCATCAATAAGTAAAATACAAATCAGAGTTATGACATTCAATCTCATATTGCGAGAAATCCAAGAATTTCTAGGGGCACTAGCACAAGTAAAAATGGTTGAAAAGTCTACTGTTTAAAAGAGAGGAAAACAACCCAAAATCTCATGAGCTAATCCAAAATCACCTACTCAATTGACTGACATAGCTTTTATAGTCACTTTATCCACTTCAAGTCGTGTAAACCAGAAATGAATTAGCAAATATGAAGCAAGACCTACTCCCTCCCATCCCAAGAATAATTGAAGAGAGTTATCTCCAGTCAACAACATTGGCATAAAAAAAGTAGAAATGTTTCAATATTGACCATACGCAATCCTTTGTATAGATGTTGGGGCGGACGAACACTAAGACGGAATAGACCGACTAATATGCCCAATGTCCCTGTTGTAATATGATGAGAGGCTCTTCTTCCTGAAATAAAAGGATCAAAACTTTTCATGTTCTCTGCTAGATTTACATATTATACTTTCTCGTTATTCCGTAAGGATCGGGTACCCATATTATAGGACCATACAAGTCTGTTACATGAAATGCACCAAAACCAAATTAAGTTACCCCCTTCAAGAAATAAATGAATTCTAATGATATTGGGCAAATCTAAAGAAGGTTTTCCTGTACATTCATCACAAAATATTTTGAGATCCCAATACACCCAATGTCATATAGTTGCCAAGAAGCATAAGCTAGAGAACACAATATGTGCCCCTTGCCACACATTCGTAACTCAAAATATCCGGATTCGTTATAGTCTCTTCTGTGATACTCCAACTGCCCATAAATTGACTATTCCTAAACGAGTCATGAAGAGTATAACAAACATACTTTGTCTCCACATTGGATCAAGAACAGGATAAGAGGGATCAAAAACTGCTAATTCATATAGAGCCATCGAACCAGCTCAACCAGCAACCAGAATTGTATTTATTATATGGATGGATAGTAATCGATCGGGATCATTCAATACAACGGTATGAACGTGATACTAATGCAAACCCATGAAAATACCCTTTTATCAAAGAAAAATAAATAGAGACAACGTAACTTTATTGCATTAGAATATACTACTATGATTATGTAGATGAATCGATTGAACAAATTTTGATCAGACACAACAGAATCACTACTAGCTGGCACTTTAACTCAAGCCTAATGGTTTTCAGCTCGTGGGCTTTCCCGACCCATTAAGCACCACTAGTAGGTAGGGGTGTCAATTTTTGAGTCGAACACAAACCCGGCTCAAACCCAACCCAACACGAGTTCGAAAATAATACGATTAATTGATACGATTAATAAAAGGGTTAAATTAAGGTTCGATACGAACAACACGATTAATGAGTAGAGTAAATAAAAAATAATTATTTAATGAGTATTATAAATAAAAAATAAGAATTTTATAATTTTTTAAATAATATTATATTAATTATTATTAAATTAAATAATTTTTTATTAACATAAATATTGATACAAATTTACCTGGTACCAAAAATAATACGACACAAAATTAATACGACACGATAAGATAAGATAAGATATGATTGACAGCCTACTGACAGTCGTGTCAAGTCATCAACAAAACCCATTACCCCACCCTACGCAGGATAGGACATAACAGAAATTCGGTCACGGTAGCCGCCGAAAAGCAATGCCAGTAATCGTTGTTGTCGTTTCTTGTCCTGAAGTCCCACTTTGATCGTGAAGTGGTTGTGAAGGTGGGGCGGAGCAATGGACATCTCCACCGTCACCACCACCGACGCCGAAACTCCACTGCTCGACGACGTCGTTGATGGAGTCGTCGACTGCAACGGTCGCCCGGTCAACAGATCCAACTCCGGTGGATGGAGATCCGCATCTTTCATCATAGGTAACCACCACACCCAATCATTTGATTGAATTTTTTCGATTGACAAAGAGTGATTGAATTGGGATTCATTTTCAGCTGTTGAAATTGCTGAGAGATTTGCGTATTATGGGATAAGTTCCAACCTCATTAGCTATCTTACTGGGCCGTTGGGTCAGTCAACAGCCACCGCTGCCGAGAATGTCAACGCCTGGTCTGGAACGGCGTCTCTTCTGCCTCTTTTGGGTGCTTTTGTTGCTGATTCATTTCTGGGTCGATACCGCACCATAATCATCGCCTCTGTGCTCTATATCTTGGTTGGTTGCTTTCTCACTGCTTAGTTTTTTATTTTTTTTGCTGGGTATTGCTAATTATAGCTAGAAAGGTTCATATACTCGTGTGTGTGAACTGCTATCCAAGTAGAGATATAAGAAAAGGTGAAAAGTTTCCGACTGTTTACGATGTATTTGAGTTGTGGGATTTGGTCAATTTCATTATTTAGTTTCTCATTTCATTTATCATTGGAACTATTATTTAGGGCAAAATAAAGTATTCTAATCGTAATTTTAACAAAATACACCAAGCGTGAGACAAATTCTCTTTGATGGTTGTAACTGGGAAAGTCCATCCCTCGTTTGTGAATTGCTATTAAAGGAGAGATATAAGAGAGTGGGAATTGGGAATTTTGGACGCCAAGCGAAAGAATATCTCAAAAGCAATTTCTAGAAAAGGAACTTTTGTTTCAAGAGCTAACAGAGAATGGCTTCATGAACTTCTTAGTACTTTGTGGTTTAAGTATTGGTGATGTACTGTGAAAATATGTAGCATTTTGTTGGAAATGAACCAAGAATCATTTTTTTAAGTCTACTGGGGCAATAACTTATACATGGTGCGGGGAGTTAGAGACGGGATATGTACCAAGTAGCTGTTCTCTGGCATATTGGGGCTACAAATCTCATAAACTTAATAAAAAAATAGCATATTATTAATGCAAAATTTGTTTGTACCTATAGGTGTATTTCTTATGACACTGTAGAATATGAAGTAATGATGTCTGTTCCATGATTAGCACAGGTTACAGGGAGTCCCATCTGATATGGGTAACAAAATATTTCCATACTGTATAAAAAGGTGTACTCCATGCAGCCTAATCTAGTGACCAAGAAGAAAGGTGAGAATCCTTACACAGTCTCAAGGCTCAATAAACATATCCATGGTGTGCTGGAGTAATAGCCAATTTAGTGGTTCAATCGCATTCACATTCATTCTAAGAAACAAACATGATGATGAGTCACAATCCAATCTAAGTATATTTCAAAAGGATAGATTCAGATCAGTTCTACTGAATCAATCACTACCACTATGAAAATGAAGCTCCGAAAACTTCTTAGTGCTTAATGCCTAATTTTTTAATCTTGCAAATGGTCTTCGTCATGAGAGAAATTTCACATCGACACTTGAACGAAGAAGAGGATTGAAAGGAGAATTGACCAGTATGCCATTGGAGAGATGAATCACAGTTGGAGTCAACAGTATGATTTTATGGTGGGGTTGTCACGGTTGTTGTGAGGAGCAGTAGAGTGCTGAAAATAGTTGTGATTGAATTTGTGATTGTGCTGCGCACGAGTCACCACCTCTGAAGTTATTGCAACCACGACATCTGTAAGTGTTGTAATTGCCACAATTTGTAGAACAAGAGAAACCATGTCCTAGAGAAGAAGAATGAGTGGTGGAGAAAAGAGCAGTAGATATAACTAGGGAAAGAAAGAGCATTCACATTTTCTTCTTCCATTAACAAAAGTGGGTGCAAAGCAACAAACGAATGATAATGTTTTTTGGCATTCATGATCGAAAAAAATAGTGTGATAACTAGATAGTGTGATAACTAGGCAGAAGACTCTAAAGTATTTGAATCACAAGACCTTCATCAATGATATGCATACCAATGGCCTTCAGAGAGCAAGCCAAAAAACGAATATGTTGGAGATAGTTAGTCATAGAAAGGGCTCATCATAAATGATGAAACATGATCAAGAAACAATTGACCAAGGACGTTACAAGCCCCATGAGATGATTCACATCCATAGTTGAGAAGAATAATAAAAACTGACGGGGACAGAATAACATTAATCCAACTGTGAATTGTTGATGTCACATTGAATCCAAAAAGGATATTAAGGATGAGATGAATCAGGACAAGGAATAGAACCTTCAACTGACCTAAGCATACTTTGGCTTTGAAGGAATGTGCGAAAGACCTTTTTCCATGTAGTAAGATAGTTGGAATATGGGAGTTCAGGAGAAACCAAATTTTAAATGATAGAGATTGAAGGAGGTGATAAGGTAATAGATGTGAGAGAGTTTGAGAGGTTAGAAAATGTAATTGGAAGGGATGAAGAAATTGCAGCGGGGAGAATGTAGGATTCCATGTTGAAGTTGAGAAAAGAAAAGGACTCCTGAGTGCTTTGGCATTGCTAGAGCTCTGATTCCATGAAGAGAATAATTTTCCAACTTACTAAAGAGAGTTAGATCCTTGTATATATATAAAGCTGTGAGTTATGTAAAGTTACAAAAATGCCCGTGATACAAAACGTATCAAATTACAATATTGTTAACAGATATGTACTTGACATTTAAACATAAATTGGATCAAGCTGTTTGATCATCACAACGTGGTGAAATCTAACAAATATTATTTTCCTAATTTTGACCTTCCAGTTTTTGCTTTGAAATTACTTGTTAAATATATATTTGTTTATTAAGAATCCATGTCATATTAATAATGTAATTGATATTGTTAAGAGTGTTAGGGTGTTATGTGTAAATATAAGAGGGTGTGTATATGTCTTTCTTATTATTGTATGTTAACTATAAACAGTGTTGTGAAAAGCGTGCCTAGGCGAGAAGCGAAGCGAGCCTTGGTCGCCTTGAACATCCAAGGCGAAGCGAAATTAAGTAAAGTGAGGAAAAAACGAGCTTATGCGACGAAGCGAAAAAGTGAACGTTTGACTGCATTTTTTTATTTTCTCCTCGACCTCCTCCTCCTTCTTTAACATTGACCAAACTCTAGCAGAAATGATGTTATATATGTATATGTATAAAATAAATTGATTGATTCGTGTAACAGTATTATGTGACAATCTGTCTTATTATGATTAAATAATGTTGAATGCTTTGTTTTGATGTGAATGCTCTTGTTAATCAATTTTCTTGGTTAATCAATTTGCTATATGCTTTATTTGATTAATCAATTTGTGAGACTTTGTTTAGTGGTGATATTAATCAATAATGGTAGAAGTTGAATCCACATTTGCTAACTTTACATTTAGATGACGTGATTATGTCAATTGATTATTTTTAGAATATAATAATGTTCAATATTTAATATCTTGTCTATTTAAAATATGTTGATATTTATTATTTTGATTGTATTTAAATATTTTATATTTATAAAATTAACACTTAAATATTTAGGAGTAATCAAAGTACGAAACTAAAATATTTGCTTTCTTTTTATATTGTTCGTTTTGCTTTAATGAAGTACTTGCTTGCGCTTCTCGCTTAGGCCCGCAGGAGACCAGTTCACTTCGATTCGCTTTACGCCTTAAATAACACTGACTATAAATAAAAGTGGTTTGTGAGAGGTAGGTTATGTTTTTGACCACTCTCTGTCTTTCTCTAATATTGTGTTAACTATCTAAACTTAACATGATATCAAAATAAGATTAATCATTTGAAAAAAAAAAAACTATATAATTTTTGACTTTTTCTTTGTTTTCTTTTTTCTTCTTTTCTGTTCTGTCGCCGTTCTTGGCTCGATTGTAAGAACTGTGGTCATGGCCTTTATGTTATGGGTGTTGGTTTAATAATTACAGAAATGTAGGTGTGGTGCAGAGGTTAATCTTACTTTGTTGAGGAGGTGGTGTTGCATCATCGACGGTGGTTGTGATTGCACTGTTACGTCGTCGGTGGTGGGGCTGTTATATCGTTGGTGGTGGTTGTGCTAGTCGTCGGAGACTTACTGTGGTGGCATGGTGGTTGCGTCGTTGGGGATCTGCATTGTCGATAGTTGTTTGCGTCGTTGAGGCGGCGCAACGAGCAACAGGGTTTCGATTGAAACCCTAGCAATGGAGAAGATGACCCTTAGCAGGTCAGTTTGGGTCGGGTTGGCTAAACGGGTTTGGATTGTTCTTAAGCCCAGCTCAGTTCGATTTAGCCCAGCCCAGCCTAGCCCAGTTCGGTTCAGTCCAGCAAACCGGTTCAGACCCGATTCTCCTCAATCTGGTTCGGTTCAGGACCTGCTTAGTTCCGGTTCAGCATTGTTCAGTTCTTCCAGGCTAGTTCGCACTGGTTTTAGCAATACAACTCCTGTTTTCCTGTCTAATTCAAACTTTTAGCTAGTGTTCTTGGCCTAGTTCAGGTAGTCAGTAGCTTTTCTTGGTCCGATTCATCTATCCAGCAGGTGTTTCACACCCGGTTCAGGCATTTAGCCACTATTTTGGTCCGGTTCAGGCAACTAGTTCACTGTTCAGGCTTTGTCCAGTGTTCTTCCAGCCTCCTTCTTTCCCTACAAAGTTTTTTTTCCTTTGATTCTATTATTGCTATACTACTATGGAACCCAAGAATCAAAATGATGATAGTCAGGCTGATCTTATCCACCCATGCCATCGAATTTTTCTCCGATGGTTCTACTTAATGTCCCATAACATCAGTTAAACTCAATGGGAGCAATTATGTTTTGTGGTCACGATCAACTCAAGTATTTCTTAGAGGTAAAGACTTTAAGAAATAGTTAGTGGACACTAAACCCTAGGAAGGTACTCCTGGTTATGATAAATGGGAACAAGAAGATGTTCAGATTATTTCCTTGCTATTGAATACTATTGAGCCCAGTTACTTTGCTTTATCTCGACACGACCAAAGAGATTTGGGATCACTTAACCACCATGTATTCTGGCACTGAAAATTTCACTCCTGCATATGAAGTATGCAAACAGTATTTTCGTCTGGAGCAAGGTACTTTGAGTCTTGAGGACTATTACTCTCATGTTTAGGGAGTGTGTGAGGAGTTGAAGCTCTATCACCCCTTTACTACCATTGCAGTGGTTTGGTAGAAGCAACATGAGGATTTGAATGTTGTTTGATTTTTAGTTGGTTTGAAACGTGAATACAAGTCTATTCGTTCTCAGATTTTGGGTGGCTCTAGTCTTCCACCTCTATTGGAGGTTTTCTCCCGATTGCAGCATGCTACCTTCGCTACAGGTTCATCCCACATGAAGTTTGGTGTGCCTACTGATCGTTCAGCTCTTGTTGTCTTAAGTGGCCATAGTGAAAATTCCCG